ACCTTTATCAAGTTAATAATGAATAACTTCCTCGCTTTTTTGTGTGGATTTGTTATATCATTTAAAGGGCTAGCAGCTGTTATATTGGGATAGGGATGTATGTGTACCCATAGGGGGCAGTGTTTTTATATCATTGGGATATTAGTGTGTTGCTTAGTTTTTTTGGGATTTTACTGTATGCTGTTATGCAAACCAGAGTTCCCCCGAGAAGTACGCAATGCCTTCCATTATTTCTTTTCTATTTTCAGCAATTCATAAAACGGTTATTTTTCAGCTGATTTTAGCTGATTGCATATTGTTTAAATTTCCTTTATTTTATTGAAGTGCCACAAACAGCTAAGTTTTGGCCAACAACACGGCTTCTATCCACCTTAATAAAGACTGTGTGATTAGTTGAAACGTTGTTCACTTGTAGCACTTAAATAACACCACACTCACCTTAACATCCACATCTAAATTAAGTGTTATAGTGCCTAAAGTAGCTCCCCCCTCTTACGCGGACACATATATCTTTATTTTACTAAATAGGAAGCTTGGAAGTGCGACTTCCAGTAATGCCTCTAAGCTCTCTGGGTACGGGACCTGGGACTGTTACTTCCTGGCTCTCATACTCTGCCATGCGTGACGTCATGAGCAGTGCCATCACCGGCTGCCGTGGAGAATCATTGTCTTCAATAATTCTTTACAGCAGAATCATAGGCACCCCGCGGTGAGCACCATGCATTAACCTATAGTCCTATTATAATCCTATTGGTTTGGACCGTCATCCAGGATGACATCAGAGGAGGAGGAGCCTGCAGCACCGCCGAACGAAGGAGATTTGGCACTGGAGATTTATTTATTTGCATTTAGTTGTTTTTTTTCCTAACAATCACTGGGGGGGGGCATTAAAACTGTAGTGATAGGAATACAGATAATGCTAATAATGCTCAAATAAAGGGACACTAATAAAAGACGACCGGATCATTTGTACTGGCCTATTAGAAATACATCTTTGTATGCGTTACACTTACGTTTTCCTTTACATGTACTGACCATCTCTGAATAAATATTGCTGAAAGCCAGATTTGTCTAATTTTCTCAGCAACATGACTACATTTACATCTGAATTTGCAGCAATTTTCTCCATATTCCCTGTCTCATAAACATGTCCATTCAGTCAACGTGGGGTGCGTATTATGTCCAATATGGAGCCAACCCTTAGTAATGTTTCATATGCGCTGATATCTTAATTTAACCATCGTACCATGCCATCTAATAATGCCACCAAATACTTTCTGCAAAGGAACGATAATAAAGGGAGATGGTCTCTCGTGACGCTACTGTGAACGCACACCGCATGAAACAAGCCACCCACTTCCACTGCCAAACTCAATGTGAATTTAGAAATATTTTCATTCTACATCTAGGTTGTGGCTTGGATCTGATTTATGGAGGGGGTGGGGTGGGGGCTGTGAATGTTTATATAAAGCAGCTGTGGTTCTAAAAGTGATGCAATCACCATGGAAACCAATATGTTGGTTCTGTTCAAGTTTTTAGAACTTTGAGTCTTAGAAAGCTAGTCTAAAAATCTGAATCATCCCCAGTGAACCCCCAGCTACGTAAACCGGATGTGTCCCTTCCCTGACATTAAAACTCAGAGTCAGGGATGGCAGACATGGAGAAAGCCCCTCTCCCCCCTAATACTCAGACAGGGCAGGGGGCAGGGGACCAGGGGGCAGTGTGCCAGGAGACCAGGGGACCAGGGGGCAGTGTGCCAGGGGGCAGGGGCCAGGGGACCAGGGGGCAGGGGACCAGGGGGCAGTGTGCCAGGGGGCAGGGGACCAGGGGGCAGTGTGCCAGGGGGCAGGGGGCAGTGTACCAGGGGCCAGTGTGCCAGGGGACCAGGGGGCAGTGTGCCAGGAGACCAGGGGGCAGGGGACCAGGGGGCAGTGTGCCAGGGGGCAGTGTGCCAGGATACCCCCATACCCCCCTCCTATATTATATATTGTGTTTATAAATATTGGGGGGCAAGGAGGCCCAATTTATAACATTAAAATCAATTATCTGCATTATTATTATATTTTATGTTATATCTGTTATAGCACAATGCAATCTGTGTTTATATTTAATATATATGGGATGGGACACTAGTACAGCAAGGGGCCAGACTAGGAGGGGGTATGGGTCTCCCCAGCATTGTGCCCCCCCCCCAATACTCAGACACAGGGATGGCAGCCCTCCCCTCCCCCAATACTGCACCCAGCAGCCCTCCCTCCCCAATACTCAGACTCAGGATGCAGGTCCTCCCCCAAATACTCAGACTCAGGGATGGCAGCCCCCCCTCTCCCTCCCCCCAATACTCAGACTCAGGGATGGCAGCCCCCCCTCTCCCTCCCCCCTAATACTCAGACTCAGGGATGGCAGACCCCCTCTCCCTCCCCCCTAATACTCAGACCATGGCAGCCCCTCCCTCCAATACTCAGACTCAGGGATGGCAGCCCCCCCTCTCCCTCCCCCCAATACTCAGACTCAGGGATGGCAGCCCCCCCTCTCCCTCCCCCCAATACTCAGACTCAGGGATGGCAGCCCCCCTCCCCTTATTTGTGTGCTGGGGGAGGGAGGGAGGTGGGTGGGTAGCTGGGCAGGGATTAGAGGAGGGTCTGGGGGCAGGGAGGAGGTCTGTCACTGTCTGTTCCCCTTTGCAGTCACACAGCTCTGATCCTCTTTGCAGATTGAGTAACGGAACGTGGTCCAGGCGCCATGGGGGTAGAAGGATGCACCAAATGCATTAAATACATGCTGTTTGTCTTCAATTTCATATTCTGGGTGAGTCTGTTTTACTGATTGCTGTGCATTGCTGTGTGTCTGATCAGGGGTATTAGCAGGGTGCCAGGGGCAGGGGGCAGTGTGCCAGGGGGCAGGGGACCAGGGGGCAGTGTGCCAGGAGACCAGGGGACCAGGGGGCAGTGTGCCAGGGGGCAGGGGCCAGGGGACCAGGGGGCAGGGGACCAGGGGGCAGTGTGCCAGGAGACCAGGGGCAGTAAAATGTGTGACCAGGGGCAGGAGGCAAGTGCCAGGGACAGAGGACCAGGGGCAGGGGATCAGCAGTGTGCCGACCAGGGCTGAAGCACCAGGGCAGCCAGGGCAGTGTGCCAGGATCAGCAGTGTGCCAGGACCAGGGGTAGGGGACCAGCAGCAAAAGGCAGGGACCAGGGGCAGGGAACCAGGGGCAGTGTGCCAGGGACCCAGGAGGTAGGACCAGGGGCAGTGTGCCAGGGGCAGGGGACCAGGGGCAGTGTGCCAGGCGGCCAGGGGCAAGGCAGTGCCAGGGGACCAGGGACAATGTGCCAGGGGAGCAGGGGCAGTGTGCCAGGGGAAATATGCTAGGGGACCAGGGGCAGTGTGCAAGGGACCAGGGGCAGGGTACCAGGGGAAGTGTGCCAGATACCCCATACCCTCCTATATATTATATATTGTGTTTATAAATATTAAAAGGAGGCCCAATTTATAACATTAAAATCAATTATCTGCATTATTATTATATTTTATGTTATATCTGTTATAGCACAATGCAATCTGTGTTTATATTTAATATATATGGGATGGGACACTAGTACAAAAGCAAGGCCAGACTAGGAGGGGGTATGGGTCTCCCCAGCATTGTGCCCCCTCACCCCTCTGGTGCCCAATCCCAAATGGTGCAGCAGGGCCAGACTGGGAGGGGGTATGGGTCTCCCCAGCATTGTGCCCTGCTGGTGCCCAACCCCACATGGTGCAGCAGGGGCATGGGTCTCCCCTAGCATTGTGCCCCCTCAACCCCTCTGGTGCCAACCCACATGGTACAGGGGCCAGGACTGGAGTGGCATGGGACCCCCAGCATTTCTCACCCTCTCCCCAGCATTGTGCCCCCTCACCCTCTGGTGTCCAATCCTACATGGTGCAGCAGGGGGCCAGACTGGGAGGGGGTATGGGACTCCCCAGCATTGTGCCCCCTCACCCTCTGGTGCCCAATCCCACATGGTGCAGCAGGGGGCCAGACTGGGAGGGGGTATGGGTCTCCCCAGCATTGTGCCCCCTCACCCTCTGGTGCCCAATCCTACATGGTGCAGCAGGGGGCCAGACTGGGAGGGGGTATGGGACTCCCCAGCATTGTGCCCCCTCACCCTCTGGTGCCCAATCCCACATGGTGCAGCAGGGGGCCAGACTGGGAGGGGGTATGGGACTCCCCAGCATTGTGCCCCCTCACCCTCTGGTGCCTAATCCCACATGGTGCAGCAGGGGGCCAGACTGGGAGGGGGTATGGGACTCCCCAGCATTGTGCCCCCTCACCCTCTGGTGCCCAATCCCACATGGTGCAGCAGGGGGCCAGACTGGGAGGGGGTATGGGACTCCCCAGCATTGTGCCCCCTAACCCTCTGGTGCCTAATCCCACATGGTGCAGCAGGGGGCCAGACTGGGAGGGGGTATGGGACTCCCCAGCATTGTGCCCCCTCACCCTCTGGTGTCCAATCCTACATGGTGCAGCAGGGGGCCAGACTGGGAGGGGGTATGGGACTCCCCAGCATTGTGCCCCCTCACCCTCTGGTGCCCAATCCCACATGCTGCAGCAGGGGGCCAGACTGGGAGGGGGTATGGGACTCCCCAGCATTGTGCCCCCTCACCCTCTGGTGTCCAATCCTACATGGTGCAGCAGGGGGCCAGACTGGGAGGGGGTATGGGACTCCCCAGCATTGTGCCCCCTCACCCTCTGGTGCCCAATCCCACATGGTGCAGCAGGGGGCCAGACTGGGAGGGGGTATGGGACTCCCCAGCATTGTGCCCCCTCACCCTCTGGTGTCCAATCCTACATGGTGCAGCAGGGGGACAGACTGGGAGGGGGTATGGGACTCCCCAGCATTGTGCCCCCTCACCCTCTGGTGCCTAATCCCACATGGTGCAGCAGGGGGCCAGACTGGGAGGGGGTATGGGTCTCCCCAGCATTGTGCCCCCTCACCCTCTGGTGCCTAATCCCACATGGTGCAGCAGGGGGCCAGACTGGGAGGGGGTATGGGTCTCCCCAGCATTGTGCCCCCTCACCCTCTGGTGCCCAATCCCACATGGTGCAGCAGGGGGCCAGACTGGGAGGGGGTATGGGACTCCCCAGCATTGTGCCCCCTCACCCTCTGGTGCCTAATCCCACATGGTGCAGCAGGTGCCCCTCACTGTGGATATCAGAGTTTGGGATTAATTTACTGATTTGCAGGCTATGTACACATTGTATTATTAGATCTGTTATTTGTGTGCAGTTTGTAGCTCTGGGGGTGTTGTGGCTGGGTGATTTGTTCTGGTGGGGTGATGTTTAATGTGTTTATTTGTGCATTTGGGGGTTGAGTATGTGAGTCTGGCCTGTACGCATGTGTAGCAGGCTGTATGTGTGGGAAGGAATGTATACACTGAGTTTATAGTAATGAAAGTCAGTGTACAATATCAGAACATTGTATTCACAAAAGCAGGGATTGCGGAGGAAGTTGGGTAATTTGCCAGAAGATCCAATTTGGATTCTGGTTTACAATATATTAGGAGATAATCTGTCATTTCTGTCTCAATTCTCCACGATTTCCATTTCACGCATTAAACTGCAAACTATTAAATTAAAAACAGAATTGATTTGGAATAAATTCTGCTAAATTCACAGTTTAGACATTTTATCCCAAACTCCGCAATTCAGATATCAGCTCTGTACAGTTCAGTTTTTACTGAATAAACCCCAAATTGGTTTGTGTTTGCAGATAATATATAAAAAGGAAGGATGTATATACCGCATTATTTCTGGTTTACTAGACCCAACCAGAGCGAGAACCCAACACACCTGGTTCTAGCCAGCAATGGTACCAGAGTGAAAACATATATTATTTACTAACTTGTTCTGAATCAATCAGTGATTTGCAAAATCAAACCCCAAATAACTGCATTGAAAAAAGATCTCCAATTCAGCTATTTATAAAACGGATATATAGGCGTAAAAATGTGACATTAATTCATCAGTTTCCAACATTTCCCGTTTTACTCAATAATCCTGCATTTTAAACAAGACCAATTTAGCTTTGAATATGAATGCTGCATGTGCGTGAATTCCTACGTGTTTATTTTACATGATTTGCCAATATAATAATGAGCAGATCGTGTCTTACAATCCCAATTCTGGGCTACTCAGATTGTACTGTAATTATTACCTGTAATGAATGGGTTCACAATCTCAGGCTCATCGCGACGTCCATATCCCAGACCAGTCATGGTCAGTGGGTATTACATTCCCGAGAGGCACCGGTTACTATTTCATAGACTGAAATGGATGCTTTCCAGGTCTACAACTCCCACTAGTCTCAGTAACTCTGGCAGTGCAGGGCTTAAATCTTTATTTTTATTATAATTTATATAGCGCTTTACTGTAATACCCTGGGGATGTAAAACAACAAAGTAATGTTAACGAGATGAAGAGGGTCCTTCTAAAATGAGCTCACAATCTAACAGGCTGGCTAAGGAATCCACTCTGACACTCTCAGGGGAGCTAATGGAACCTCCTCCGCAGGTAGAAGTGGCTGGTGGACCCCCGGTAAGTTGAGGATATTTAACCTGTTATGGGAAGCCAGTCTGTGTTTCCTAAATAGGAGCACGCAGGAGAGGTTTGTTTTACTGCAACACCCACTGAACAGAGCAATGGGATAAAATGAGCTTTTAATAGTATTAAGGAAAGAAACATATACTTATATAACAGGAGTCACGCCATGCTTCCGTAAACTGCAACCTATATCTACAATGACAGCTTTACGTTACGTGAATTGGACTTCTCTTGGTTTGTGTCATATTGCGTGAACAGTCTGATCACAAAGCAGCGCACGATAACGTTTATATTTCGATTGTCTTCTTATAAAGAGGCGGCTTTATAAAGTGCTGTGCACACTTGATTTTATTATTATAAGGATACCAAGATTGTATTGTCATCGTTAGTGAAACAGAAAATCAAACTGTACAAATCAATTCTCAGCCCAATCTTATCCTTCTAAAAAAACAAACGTTTCTTGCGCACTATCCAAATCCTGATGTACATAGAAATAACGAGGTTTTTTAGTATCACTCCAGTTTTATACTTCTCGCTGTTTCTACACTTACACTTTCCTCTTTGTCAGTTATCTGCTCTAAAGCAATAATGTGCTCTCTTCCTATACATGGATTATATTACTGGTTATGTATGTATTAACCCTCGATATGCGGAATCTCATGTCTATATATATATATATCTACAATTTGTTTAAGTAGGGTTTCAGTGAATTAGAATTTGCAATTACTTGTGGGTGTCCGATCCTCCTGGTGACATGTTTTCTAGATTGGCATTGTACACGGAGAGAAGGGCGACACGTTTTCTAGATTGGCATTGTATACGGAGAGAAGGGCGACACGTTTTCTAGATTGGCATTGTATACGGAGAGAAGGGTGACATGTTTTCTAGATTGGCATTGTACACGGAGAGAAGGGTGACATGTTCTATAGATTGGCATTGTATACGGAAAGAAGGGCGACATGTTTTCTAGATTGGCATTGTATACGGAGAGAAGGGCGACACGTTTTCTAGATTGGCATTGTATACGGAGAGAAGGGTGACATGTTTTCTAGATTGGCATTGTACACGGAGAGAAGGGTGACACGGAAAGAAGGGCGACATGTTTTCTAGATTGGCATTGTACACGGAGAGAAGGGTGACATGTTCTATAGATTGGCATTGTATACGGAAAGAAGGGCGACATGTTTTCTAGATTGGCATTGTACACGGAGAGAAGGGTGACACGTTTTCTAGATTGGCATTGTATACGGAGAGGAGGGCGACATGTTTTCTAGATTGGCATTGTATACGGAGAGAAGGGTGACATGTTTTATAGATTGGCATTGTATACGGAGAGAAGGGCGACATGTTTTCTAGATTGGCATTGTATACGGAGAGAAGGGTGACATGTTTTCTAGATTGGCATTGTACACGGAGAGAAGGGTGACATGTTTTCTAGATTGGCATTGTACACAGAGAGAAGGGTGACATGTTTTCTAGATTGGCATTGTATACGGAGAGAAGGGTGACATGTTTTCTAGATTGGCATTGTATACGGAGAGAAGGGTGACATGTTTTCTAGATTGGCATTGTATACGGAGAGAAGGGCGACGTGTTTTCTAGATTGGCATTGTATACGGAGAGAAGGGTGACGTGTTTTCTAGATTGGCATTGTATACGGAGAGAAGGGCGACGTGTTTTCTAGATTGGCATTGTATACGGAGAGAAGGGTGACGTGTTTTCTAGATTGGCATTGTATACGGAGAGAAGGGTGACATGTTTTCTAGATTGGCATTGTATACGGTCATGAAATTCCCAGATTAATTGGCCACCACGACGTTCACCCGACCTTTCAGCTCCCAATTGCTTCCTGTGGGGAGATCTGAAGGAGCCGGTGTGTGTGATCAAACGGCGTATACTTCAGCAGCTCACTGAGTATATCCGTGCAGAAATTAGAGCGCTAGAGCGCCAGAGCGCCAAACATTAACTAATGTTAACAAATGGAACTCATTTAAAAAGATGTCATCTTCTGTACCTGGTCAAACAAATCTCCATACATTAAGCATGCATTGTACGTAATACCATTGAAATTAATTGATTAATAAATAGTTATTAACTCCCGGTACAGTCTAGCTTTCTGTGCCAATTAATTATTTGTTCTAGTTACAATTTATTTAAGATTTATTACACAGCGCTACAGAATTTGCTGGCGCTATATAAATAATAAAATAATAATAGTAATACCCTCTACAGAAGCATATTCCCTAGGGCTGACACAGGAAAGAGCAGAGACACGATGCTACACTTTGTATGTTTTACATAAACCATCTGGGGACTATACAGAAGCACTCATACCCAATGTCAAAGAAAATACAAATAGCTACAGTCTGCGTCTTAGCATTGAGTTTTAGACAAACTGCTATGTTTACACTGAGGTTTAATCCAGCCTCTAGTGGATGTCTCATTGACAGCCGCTAGAGGTGCTTCCGCGATTCTTACTGTGATTTTCACAGTGAGAAGACGCCAGCGTCCATAGGAAAGCACAGCATTTGCCGCGCATGCGCATTCAGATGATGACGGGGAAAGGAGGAGGAGAGTCGCCAGCGCCGAAGTGATTAACCCCTTCCCCTCCATCCAGCCCGGTGGGAGGGGGACCCTGAGGGTGGGGGCACACTCAGGGCACTATAGTGCCAGGAAAACGAGTATGTTTTCCTGGCACTATAGTGGTCCTTTAATGTGTCAATGTTTATTTCTAGGACAAAATACAACCCATCTTTCTAGGATATAAAATACAGTCTGTCTTATTTGTTTTACAGTCATTGTGCCCACTTCACAAATATATCTGTAAAGCGAATCTAAATCTTGTTTCATCGTACTCATTTGCTAGTGTTTGTAAGCTCACTTTCATCTCTAGTCAGTTATTTTTGTATTTCGATTACATATTGTCAAGTATCCCCATTCTACAATTATAAAGCACTGCGGAAGATATTGGTGTTATATAAATGCTAGTAATAATAATATAGAGTAAATAAAATACTTAATGGATCACTATAGTGTCAGGAAAACAAACTCGTTTTCCTGATTCTACAGCATCCTTAGGACCCCCCCACCCTCAGGATTCCCTGCCTTGGCGCTGAAGGGGTTAAAACCCCTCAGCTACTTACCTTTATCAAGTGCCGGGCTCCCTCCTCTCCCGTAGCCGACGTCAGCTCCCTCATGCCTCCATAAATATAGTAAAAATCTTACTGTATTCAAGCCTAAAGCTGTAACTCTGCATGCTGTTAGACTCAGAAAAACAAGCAGTCTGCTGACATCATCAGAAGTGGTAGCCTGATCCAATCACAATGCTTCCCCATAGGATTGGCTGAGACTGACAAGGAGGCAGATCAGGGGCAGAGCCAGCATGATTCAAACACAGCCCTGGCCAATCAGCATCTCCTCGTAGAGATGAATTGAATCAATGTATCTCTATGAGGAAAGTTCAGTGTCTGCATGCAGAGGGAGAAGATACTGAATGTTTGGATGCATTTTAGGCAGCCATGACCCAGGAAGGATCTCTAACAGCCATCTAAGGAGTGGCCAGTGAAGTTATCACTAGGCTGTAATGTAAATACTGCATTTTCTCTGAAAAGACAGTGTTAACAGCAAAAAGCCTGAATTTAATGATTCTGCTCACCATAACAAATTCAATAAGCTGCAGTTGTTCTGGTGACTACAGTGTCCCTTTAATATACGGTAGATAGCTTAATGTACGGTATACAGCATTCTGGTGAGTAGAATCATTACCTTCAGGCTTTTTGCTGTAAACACTGTCTTTTCAGAGAAAATGCAGTGTTTACATTACAGCCTAGTGATACCCCCACTGGCCACTACTCAGATGGCTACTAGAGGTGCTTCCTGGGGCAGTGCTGCACATTCAGTGTCTTCACCCTCTGCATGCAGACACTGAACTTTCCTCATAGAGATACACTGATTCAATGTATCTCTATGAGTAGATGCTGATTGGCCAGGGCTGTGTTTGAATCATGCTGGCTCTGCCCCTGATCTGCCTCTTTGTCAGTCTCAGCCAATCCTATGGGGAAGCACTGTGATTGGATCAGGCCACCACTTCTGATGATGTCTTCCTATGGAATAGCCTGCCTACCGCCATCAGACTCTCCCCTAGTCTTGCATCTTTTAAGAAGTGCCTTAAAACCCAGCTCTTTAGGAAAGCTTATGATCTCTACATCACATACCTGTCTCTTGCTCTCTCCTAAAGGGCAGCACTCTACTCTCTCCTCCCGTTCTGCTTCACTCCCACCTTATTTGATTGCTATTTCCTGTCCTGTTGTGTTTTACACCCCACCTCCTATAGACTGTAAGCTCATTTGAGCAGGGTCCTCTTCAACCTATCGTTCCTGTAAGTTTTCTTGTAATTGTCCTATTTATAGTGGGCAGGTCAAAAAGAAACAGGGACAAAGCTAGCAGCTTCAGACTTGAATACATGTAAGATTTTACTATATTTAGGGAGGCATGAGGGGGACAAGGTGGCTAGATGGTCGTTTTAACACTATAGGGTCAGGAATATATGTTTGTGTTCCTGACCCTATAGTTCTCCTTTTATGTATATTATACAGCTTAATGTACAATATACAGCTTAATCTAGTGGTTATTGTGTCTATAGCCTCAGACTTTTCAATGTAACCCTGCCTTTTGGTGGCTGTCACTGAGACAGCCACTAGAGGTGCTTCCTGTGACATTGCTGTTCAGTGTTCAGTGTCTGCGCTCTATGCATGGAGGTCCCCATTGAGATGCTTTGATTCCTCTATGAGGAGATGCTGACTGGCACAACAGCTGAGAAATGTGTATTTCATAAAGATAGAATGTGTATGAAATACTCATATTGTCTGTGTTGTAATTTCACTGAGACGGAATAGGGACCATTTTGTCTCTGTATATTTCCTCCGTCTGACACGTTGGGACACTGGACGGAGCTATGACCATCTATACGTTTCAAGCTCCCAGCCGTTACCAGTGATGGATGCAGGGAATTGTGTCTGTCTATGGGGGATCCTGCTGTCTCACGGGATCCTACATAGACCTCTGCTATATTCTTGAAGAGGGCCCGCTGGAAGAAGATGGCCTCCCCTCCAAGGGACATGTTCAGGTAGGTAGAACTTACCTTTACCGATGAATAGGCATCCGAAGTGCATCTCTGCAGGCAATGCAACAAGAAAATCATTGTCACTGTCACTTTACCACGTTTTCAATTAGAAATCCACATTTCTTTACCATACAACTGTAGCTCCCTCATTCATTGTTATAAGCTCCGCACTTTGCACCTGGCAGTCAAAGAGAGCAGACAGAGTACACTACAGGCAACAGAATCTATACAGATTAACCTGGTGGTTCTGGGACAAATGTCTGTCCATGGGGGACACGCTGTGTATTGCTGCTCATCTCCGTCTTTAGTGACTGTCACTGTGACTAGAGGGACTACAAGGGTTCAGTCCGGCAAAGATTGCAGGATCGTCGTTCAGTGTCACCACACTCCACATGGAGACTCTGAACTCTCCCCATAGAGATTCATTGACTCAATTAGCATCCCAATGGAGAGGCATTGGATTGGCTGAGATCATCAGTATTTATGATCTCAGCAAGCAGAGATGGGGCGAATGTGGCAAGACTAGATCTCCGAGGGAATAAAGGTCAGAAAAACTTTATTTTTTATTCATTCTTGGTGGTCCAACAATCCAAACAAGTAGGTAACACTCTAGCATTAGAAATGTATGTTTGTATACACTCATAATGCTAAAGTGTTCCTTTAAACAATGTTTGTACTTACCCCTTCTTTCCTAGTGTTTAACCTAGCTTTGCCTTGTCTGAACTGGATTGTAATTTCATTTGCTGAAAAGAAAATTGAGAATAGCATGAAATACGTTTAGGTGATTTTCAAAGTTCTAATGAATGCTGACAGACAGTAATGTGACAGTTTCCCTTTAAGATACATTTTTTTTTCACACCACCTGCCTAGTGTTATTTACAGGAATTGATACCATCGTGTATATATAGAGTTTCCCTTGCGGAAATGAGAGGAACGAGAAACAAGCAGAAATGAATTGGAGACGTGTTGTGTGAACGTCAGATCATTGTATAAACAACATGTTATGATTTTTAACATACAGTATAGTTCATTCATGCACATGTGCCCGCTCATTAATTCCCTCCAAAGTGAGAAGTAGAAGACTGGGACTGGCTGGGAGATCACAGCCAGGTCCTGGTTCCAGCAGATGCCACTGGAGGTTTTCCACAATACAGACTCGAAGGAGAGTCATTTTTAATGCTTACTTTGGTAATGGGTTCTGTTTATCACATCATTTACTCGTTTTTTTATAAATACCCACATCTGGGTTTCTTATATTTTAAAGGAACACTGTATGCAAACAAACTTGTATTCCTGACACTGTAGAGTTAAACTAACTATTTAGGTGACAGGCCACCCTCCGATTGTATGGCCAAAGTCTTTTTAGTCACCTTTTTTTCCCCACATTATGCTGGTCTTGATGAACTCCACGGATCCAATACTTTCCCATAGAAATGCCAAGCTGATCCAATCAGAATCTCCTCATATAGAGGCCTTGAAACATCTCAATCAATGGGGAACATTCAGCACCTCCATGCAGAGCATGCTCACTGTCTCAGTGGCTTTCACTATTGGTGTTAATAGGCAGCAATATAAACATTGCCTTTTCTCTGAAAACTTGTCTCTGGAAAGGCAATAGTGGTTCTGGTGACCATAGTGTCCCTTTAAGAATTGTATTTTTATCATTAAAAATAAACCTTTGTTAATAAAAACTTTACTTTTTGGCTCTTAACTTTTTTAGATGGCTCCTAGATTCCAAGCAAATTTGTCAAGCCCTGGGTTATAGGCCTCTGTCTTGCTTCCCATTGGCTTATAACTGTCAATTATTTATGTCATTTTATTCAGTCATGTCTTTGCATGAATGAAACAATTGCATTATGATTAGCTGGATGTTTATAAAGCAGGCTCACAGCATTAACTGTAAGTCCATTTTTAATTTGTCATCTAATGAAATGAATTAACCGCCTAAATTGGACTACAACTGCTCCCTCAAAATATAACCCCTCTTACTGTACTGACCTGTGATTTTGTAACATATAAGCCAATTATCTCCCTACCGGTACATTGTTTGAAAATGTTTTTACTAGGATTCTACATGTTATCATTTTTAACTCCCAAATTATGCCAAAGCAATGTGTATCTCTAAGCATGGATCTTATAATTAGAGTAAGCCTTGGCTCTTTGTTCTAAACATCATACAAGATTTTTAGGTAAAAAATGATTTAGAAAAAATAAATTACAATTTGAGTGCAGCCGCGTCGCATACTCTTTCAGTAAAACGTTAAAAAACAAATTGACCTAAAATGCTGAAATGGACTTAGATGATATCCATTGATTTATATGGAACTCTCTGAAATCGATATTGCCAAGTATTTTGCTATGACAGTAAAGGGTATTGGTGTTTGCCAGTAACCCAATTTATATTACTGGTGGCGTCCACAGCCACAAATGGGGTGTATCATGCCAGGGCACATAGGTATCAGGCTGCCCAGTGAGGTATCTGGAATCGGCTAGAGTAGTCATCACTAAGTTCAAATGTTTTTCTTCAGGGGGACTTTCCTTTGGTGCCCCCAGACCCAGGACGTTATAACATTGCCATAGGCACAAAATCGAGACTGTCACACTGAATTCAGGGCTGCTGGCAAGTATGATACAATATGGGCACAGTAATGAGTAGGGATGCACGAAAAGGAAAATTCTGGGCCGAAACCGAACATTCAGGATGCCCTTCAGGAAAACCGAAAAGGACTTTTTTTCCCAAATGATTTTTAAAAAGTTTTTTTCCTATAATTTTATTAATATTAGACTATTTAATTAATTTAATTCTTCTAATATGAAAAACTTCCTTTCTCTTTTATTACATAGTTACATAGTTACATAGCTGAAAAGAGACTTGCGTCCATCAAGTTCAGCCTACCTCACATTTGTTTTTTGCTGTTGATCCAAAAGAAGGCAAAAAAAAACAGTTTGAAGCACAATTTTGCAACAAGCTAGGAAAAAAATTCCTTCTTGACCCCAGAATGGTAGTCAGGTTTATCCTTGGATCAAGCAGTTATTACCCTACATTGAAAGATTATATCCTTGAATATTCTGTTCTTGCAAGTATGCATCTAGTAGCTGTTTGAACATCTGTATGGACTCTGATAAAACCACTTCTTCAGGCAGAGAATTCCACATCCTGATTGTTCTTACAGTAAAAAACCTTTCCTTTGCCTTAGACAAAATCTTCTTTCTTCCAGTCTAAACGCATGGCCTTGTGTCCTATGTAAAGTCCGGTTTGTGAATAGATTTCCACACAATGGTTTGTATTGGCCCCGAATATATTTGTATAATGTTATCATATCCCCTCTCAGGCGACGTTTTTCTAAACTAAATAGGTTTAAATTCGTTAATCTTTCTTCATAGCTGATATGTTCCATACCTTTTATTAATTTTGTAGCCTGCCTCTGCACTTTTTCTAGTGCCATAATAGCCTTCTTTAGAACAGGTGCCCAAAATTGCACAGCATATTCAATATGGGGTCTTACCAGTGATTTATAAAGAGGCAAAATTATATTCTTGTCCCGAGAATGAATGCCCTTTTTCATGCATGACAATACCTTACTGGCCTTGGCCACTGCTGATTGACATTGCACATCGTTGCATAGTTTGTTGTCTTTTAGTGGTCCCCCGCGCTTAAAGGGACACTCCAGGCACCCAGACCACTGCTGCCCATTGGAGTGGTCTGGGTGCTAACTCCCACTACCCTTAACCCTGCAAGTGTAATTATTGCAGTTTTTTATTACCTGCAATAATTACATTGCAGGGTTAACTCCACCTCTAGTGGTTGTCTACTAGAAAACCTGTGCTAGAGCGTCGCTGGACGTCCTCACGCTGTGCGAGGACCTCTAGTGTCGCTCAATTCCCTATAGGAAAGCAATGAAAAGCATTTTCAATGTTTTCCTATGGGGAGCTCTAATGTGCATGTGCGGCATTGCCGCGCATGTGCATTAGGTCTCCCCGGCTGGTGGGCGGGATCAGTCTCGCCCACCGGCCTACGTAATGCAGAGGAGGAGCGGAGGAAGAAGCAGCGACGTGGGACCTCGTCGCTGCCTCTGGTAAGTGACCGAAGGGGTTTTCACCCCTTCAGCAACCGGGGATTGGGAGGTGGGAGGGAGGGGGGACCTGCAGTGCCAGGAAAACGGATTGTTTTCCTGGCACTGGAGTTTCCCTTTAATGTTCCTCTCCCCTCCCTCTTTATAAGCGTTCTTTCCCCCCATCCTCCCCTGTCCCATAGTGTTTTTTTCTCCCGCCTCCCCCGTCCCATAGTGTTCTTTTCTCCCTCCCCTGTCCCATAGTCTTCTTTTCTCCCCTCCCCTGTCCCAGTGTTCTTTCCCTCCTCCCCTGTCCCATAGTGTTCTCCCCCCCCAGTCCCATAGTGCCCCCCGTCCCATAGTGTTCTTTTCTCCCTCTCCTGTCCCATAGTGTTCTTTTCTCCCCTCCCCTGTCCCAGTGTTCTTTCCCTCCTCCCCTGTCCCATAGTGTTCTTCCCCCCGTCCCATAGAGTTCCCCCCTGTCCCAGTGTTCTTTCCCTCCTCCCCTGTCCCATAGTGTTCTCTCCCCCCGTCCCATAGTGTTCCCCCCTTTCCCAGTGTTCTTTCCCTCCTCCCCTGTCCCATACAGTGTTCTTTTCTCCCTCCCCATAGTGTTCTCCTCCCCTGACCCATAGTGTTCTCCCCTCCCCTGTCCCATAGTGTTCTCCCCCCTCGTCCCATAGTGTTCCCCCCTGTCCCAGTGTTCTTTCCCTCCTCCCCTGTCCCATAGTGTTCTTTTCTCCCTCCCCCATAGTGTTCTCCCCTCCCCTGTCCCATAGTGTTCTCCCTCCCCATAGTGTTCTCCCCTGTCCCAGTGTTCTTCTCCTCCCTGTCTATATAGTGTTCTCCCTCCTGTCCCATAGTAGCCTCTTCCCTCCCCCATAGTGCTCTCCTCCCCCATAGTGTTCTCCCCCGTTTCCTATAGTGTTCTCCCCTCCCCGCCCCCCTGTCCCAAGAGCGTTATTGTTGACTTTTCATGTTATCATTACTATCATTCATTGTGATATGTAATCATCTGAATTGTTAATGCAAGCATGTCTGGTAAACTAAGTACCAAAAAAATATATATATATATTTTTTTTTTTATTTCGTCAAATTTGAGCCGTTTTCGGCCGAAACGGGATAGGCCCATTTTCAGCAGAAAATTTTGGCAGCTGAAATTTCAGTGCATCCCTAAATGAGAGGGTAAGAGATTAAACATGTTACTATTCTGCCTTTAAATGAAAGACAGCGAGTGTGTGCCAAGTACGGAATTACACAGAACAATCGTTTTATTAGATGTCTGGCCATGTACGATAGCGTATTGCTGAATAGTGACACTGAGCCAGGAATCGCAAGGCTTGGAATGGTATATGGTGGTAGCGCGTTAACTATGTGAGTTACAATCTGTATTTATTGTCATTTAATGGACAACAAAATTCTGCAGGTTTTGTTTCTGTTTGTTGGTACTATTGGTTTATAACTTATTTTATTATGTTTCAAACCTGACTACATTGTTGCCTTAAAGGTACACTATAGTCACCAGAACAACTACAGCTTAATATACGGTATACAGCTTAATGTACGGTATACAGCTTAATGTACGGTATACAGCTTAATGTATGTTATACAGCTTAATATACGGTATACCGCTTAATATACGGTATACAGCTTAATGTACGGTATACAGCTTAATGTATGTTATACAGCTTAATGTACGGTATACAGCTTAATGTATGTTATACAGCTTAATAAACAGTATACAGCTTAATATACAGTATACAGCTTAATGTATGTTATACAGCTTAATGTATGTTATACAGCTTAATATACGGTATACAGCTTAATGTACGGTATACAGCTTAATGTATGTTATACAGCTTAATATACGGTATACAGCTTAATAAACAGTATACAGCTTAATATACAGTATACAGCTTAATGTATGTTATACAGCTTAATATACGGTATACAGCTTAATGTACAATATACAGCTTAATGTACGGTATTCAGCTTAATATACGGTATACAGCTTAATGTACGGCATACAGCTTAATGTATGTTATACAGCTTAATATACGGTATACAGCTTAATGTACAATATACAGCTTAATGTACGGTATTCAGCTTAATATACGGTATACAGCTTAATGTATGTTATACAGCTACGTATAGCGTACGGCGTTATACAGCTTAATATATGTATACAGCTTAATGTACGTATAGCTTAATATACAGCTAATACAGCTGTAAATGTACGGTATACAGCTTAATGTATGTTATACAGCTTAATGTATGTTATACAGCTAATATACGGTATAGCTTAATGTACGGTATACAGCATACAGCTTAATGTATGCATTGATTCAATGTATCTCTATGAGGAGATGCTGATTGGCCAGCGCTGTGTTTCGCTCGCCTCCTTGCCAATTATAGCCCGTGGGAAAGCATTGGATTGGCTAAAAATCTGCAATTCTGATGATGTCACCATGGGGGAGGGGGCAGCGCCGGCAGACACCCTCAACGCTGGAGATAAGGTGAGTTTTATTCCTTTTAAGGGGGGTGGGTTAAGCACTATGGGGTCAGGAATACATGTTTCTGTCCGTGACCCTATAGTGTTCCTTTAAAATGTCACCATTATGTTTTTCTTTTTTTGATATTTTTTACTTTACACTCCTGTTTATTGATGATTAAGCTCTCCCTCATTCATTCGCCGCTTGACTTTATTTATATATTTTTTCTTCCATGTGCCGGATCTTGGGCGCAGCCATTTTGTCTGCATTTTGCCCTACTGTGAGATTATTTGACCTGATGGATTGTGGGTAAATTTGATTGGCAGCTGAAAGAGCGCTGCCCATTGTCAGGAAGGAATAGCGCTCCCTAATTTTCCTTATATATGTATTTTATGAAAGTTGGCGTCCTCGAGGGGGAAGTGAATTAACATATATTCAGACGCAGGGAGCTATATAGTGTATTCTGCATTGTATGGTGTAATGACTCGTTACAGTGCTAGAGCAGTATACATTACTATTGTTTAATGTTTTTACATTATTGCATCAAGTGAAATGTAGATTATTTTTATACAGTCCAGGAGTATCTGCAGGTTGTGTTCACTTTTTCTGGAGCTAAATAGAAGCAGATTTGATAAACGTGTATTTTTGGCACAGGGTCGCTCTTACTATTTTTTTTTTTTCAAATTTATATTTTATTGTGTTAATCGAGGTTGTGGGGGTACAGAAAAGAAGGTGGGAGGGTTGGTTAAACAGGTAACACCTCTGTATGACACTCTTGATTCCAAAACAGTGTGTCACCATTGTGCGAGAGACATTGTTCCAACACAGTAGTAATAGTAACAACTAACAATTGTGCACAAGGTAACATCAGTACATTCTTAACAATGTGGCATTAACTTTCATGAGACAATATAGTGCTGTTACATGTGCAAGGTGTTCCGTTTGTCGTCGCCTGCATTGTAAATCGTCAGTGGCGAAAGGTAGCACTAGTTGTCGTAAAGATTCTTCTTGTCCTTTCGTTAGGTGCTGGGTGGTAGGGGTCTGGTAGGGGGTCTAAGGGTGTCCGGGGGGAGGGGGGTTATAGGTGGGTGGAATGCGTGGGTGTGCGCGAGCAATACCCGTAATTCGTTGGTGGTTGTCTTGGTCTGGTGGTAGAACTGCTGTGGCGTAGGGGGCTAGTCCGGGTTGCAGTCCCGGTTAGTGCTTGTGGCAGTGTTTGCTATTGTTGGTGTTCTGTCCTTTATCCGTCCAAACTCTCTTTCCCATTTACCCCAAGTAACGTCAAATTGTGTGATATTCTTAGCGGATGTGGTTGCCATTCTCTCATATATATGGAATTGCCCTATTTTATCTGTCAGCTGTAGCAAAGAAGGGCAGTTTTGGGATTTCCAGTTGAGTGCTAGGAGATTTCTTGAAGCCATGAAAACTAACGTTATGATTTGTTTTTGGCCTGGGTTAAGGCCTGTGGGAAGCAGGAGCATTAGGCAAATGGGTGCTGTCAGTTCAAATTTTGGAATGTCTAGTGTGTCTAGGATTGACCTCGTGGCAGTCCAGAGAGGTTTGATGCCTCTGCAAGACCACCACAGGTGTATCAGTGTGCCTGGGCTTGATTGGCATCTCCAGCATAGCGGGCTCGTCGCAGGAAATAGTTGGTGAAGTCGTTGTGGGGTCATGTACCACCGGTACATGAGTTTCCTGTGGGCCTCTATGTGTGAGAAACATTTTGTTTGTTTGGACAACCCGTTCAGTGCTTGTAGCCACTCCATATTTGTTAAGGTTATGTCACAGTCCATCTCCCATTGGGCTTTGTGCGAATGTGGTTTAGCTGGCGTGAGTTCTTGCCACGTTTTGTAACATAGTGTGAGTGTTTTAGGTTTATTGGGTGAGGACCAGCATCTGTCAATGAGCAGCTGTGAAGTGGTTTGTGGGGAGCTGTTTGGGTTGTGTGCGGTAGTTATGTGTGCTTATAATACGCTTTTAATCTGTAAGTAGGAGAAGATGGCTCGGCTGGGGAGTTTCCACTGCGTTTGTAGTGTGGGGAAGGGTGTTACTTTCCCTTCGGTCATCAGTTGGGATATGTGTTTGATCCCTGCCTTATGCCAGTCTTGAAGTGGTATGTCTGTTACCATTGTTCTGAGTATCGAGATGGGTGATTTGGGGTGGAAGGAGTTGTTATATCCATTGGCTCCCATGAATTCATCCCATACTGCCAGTGTGAGCTGGGTGGTTGGGAAGAGATCCTGTCGTCGCGGTCTGAGGTGTTTGGGTGTCCAGAGATAGTCAAGTAGGCTTTGGTTGCGGAATTGTGCTCTTTCCATGTCTACCCATTGAATCGTATTAGGTGGTCTGTGGGAGAGGACACCTGTGGACATGATAGCCGCTCTATAGTACTGTCTGAGATTGGGGAGACCAACTCCGCCAGAGCGGGTGTCTGTTTGGAGGAGTGCCATGGATACCCTAGGTTTCTTACCCCCCCAGATGAAAGTGCTGCATAGTTTTTGTAGTGTTTTGCAGCATTGGGCGAGTATTTTGAGGGGGAGCATCCTAAAGACATAGAGAATGCGGGGCAGGATCATCATTTTGTAGGCATTAATCCTCCCCAGCCATGAGATCATCGTATGTTTCCATTTGTGCATTTCAGTGTTGCAGAGCGTTTGTAATGGTGTGTAGTTTAATGTTAGCGTGGCCGAGGTGGAGGGTGCCACTTTTATCCCCAGGTATGCAATGGAGGCGGATCTCCAATCAAATTTGTATGTGGTGCGAAGGGAGTCTATCAGGGTTTTCGGCAGGTTGATGGGTAGGGCTTGGGTTTTGTCTTGATTTAATTTGTAGTATGAGACTTTTCCAAATTGTTGTATGAGTTCCAGCATATGTGGTAAAGAGCGGGTGGGGTCTGTTAGTGCCACGAAAATGTCGTCGGCAAACAGGGCCAGGCTGTACCTCTTGTCTCGTATAGGGATTCCTTGTATGTCTGGATGGGATCTGATTTTGCACGCTAGGGGTTCCAGGGCTAGTATGTATAGAAGGGGCGAGAGGGGGCATCCCTGTCGGGTGCCGTTAGTAATAGAGAAGGGGTTGGACAGGAAGCCTCCATGAGAGACCTTGGCCGCTGGTTTGTGATATAATGCCATTATGCTTTTGATCATGGACATGGGAAAGTTAAATTTGTGTAGGGTTTTAGCCATGTATTCCCAGTTTAGCCGGTCGAAGGCCTTCTCCGCGTCAAGCGCGAGGAAGAGTCCTTTCGAACCGCTAGTGTCTAGCGTGGATAACATGTTCAGGATTTTCCTGGTGTTGTCTGAGCCCTGACGCCCTTTAATGAACCCCGACTGGTCATTGTGTACCAGTTTGTGTAGGAGAGGAGCTAATCGGTTGCTGATGAGTTTAGCATAGATTTTGGCATCCCCATTGAGTAGGGAAATGGGCCTGAAGTTTTTACATTGAGTGGGGGGCTTGCCAGGCTTAGGGAGGGTGGATATGTGGGCCAGCAGCATCTCCTCTGGCAATGCGCCTGCGGTGGCGCAGGTATTGAGGAGGTTTAGTAACTGTGGCGTGAGGATGTGTGAGAATTTCTGGTAGTATGCGTTAGTAAAGCCATCGGGGCCAGGGGATTTGTGGGCTGGTAGTTTCGATATTACAGCCGTGATCTCGTCTATGGAGAATGGTTGTTGTAGCAGGTCTAGGTCATCGTTTGTTAATTTTGGTAGGTCAAGTCCCGTCAAGAACCCGTCAATGTCGTCATGTGTAGGTAAGAACATGTTGGGGTCAGTTTTAAGGTTATACAATTCACTGTAATATTTCGCAAATTGGTCTACAATACATTGTGGGTTCAAAGTCTTCGCTCCCTTATTGTCTACTAGGAAGGCAATCCTGGAGGCCACACATCTCTCCTTCAGTTGTGACGCTAGTTTGGCGCCCGCTCTATTTCCGTTGGCAAAAAAGTTATGTTTAGCTTTGCGTAAAATATATGTTGTTTTAGCTAGTTCTATGTTTCTTAATTGATTTTGGAGGTCTATCAATTTTTTGCAAGTGGCCCTATTTGGGTCTCTTTTGTTGGAGTGTGTTAGTGTGGCAATTTCTGTTACCAGGGAGTTATAGGTTGCTAGCCTTATTTTCTTGGCTCTACTGGCGTGTTTTATAAGGCTGCCTCGTATGACCGCCTTGTGCGCTAGCCAGATTTGTTCTATCGGTGAGTCTTGCGCCGTGTTTTCGGCGAAGTAGTGCTGTAGGTCTGAGGTAACCTGCGTCACTACATAGGGGTCCACCAGAAGAGACTCATTCAGCCTCCAGGTGCCTGTCCCTACACCTTTCCTTGATGCTTAGGGTGACGGGTGCATGGTCTGACCATGATATTGTTCCGATATTAGCTTCCTCTATATTAGTTATGGAGGATGCGGGGATGAGAAAGCGGTCTATGCGGGAGTAGCTGTTGTGTGCCAGTGTATGGCATGTATAGTCAACTTCTGTGAGGTGGAGGATGCGCCATGGGTCTACTAAGTGGTGAGAGGCTAGTGTGGCGCATACTTTGGCTGTTAGAGCCGCTCGTCTCCTCAGGGTGTTTTTAGAGAGCCCTGCAGCGGTGGATGAGTCAGACTCACTATCTAGTAAGAAGTTTGTGTCGCCTCCAATGATTACCTCCCCATATTTGTACATATCAAGTGTGGCCAGAGTTGAGGTTAGGAATTCGTGTTGGTTTTCATTAGGACTGTAAATATTGACTAGCGTATATGGGTTATTGTTAAGAAGGCATTGCAAAATCAGGTAGCGCCCTTTTCTATCAGTTATTTTGCGAACCAGGGAGAATACTACATCCTTACTAACTAGAATGGAAACACCTCTTTGCTTGGCCGTGAAACAGGTGTGGAAGTCATGGGGAAACCATTTAGAGGTGAATTTTGGTCTATCTTTCCACCTGAAATGCGTCTCCTGAAAGAACGCCACTAGAGCGCCACTTTTCCTTGCCTCTTGTATAGCCAGCCTGCGCTTGTGCGGGGAGTTAAGCCCTTTTGCGTTTAGGGACATAATTTTAATTACCATGACCTATACGTTTGGGTCGCTGCGCACGTGAATATAAAGGATTCAGAGCTGCCTTGCAAGATAGGTATAACGCCTTTGCGGGTATGCTGGGTGGGGAAGAGGGGAAACAACAGGGTAATAACTATATACAAAGTTCCGTATGTGTCAGGGTCTTACCTGAGTTGGGAGTCTGTAGCGCAGATATGATGCTCACCCTTGCAGATAGCCACAGGCCGAGGTGGTCAGGTAAGAATTCACCTGGCCTGTGGGTCTGTGCACGGGGGCTGTGCAGGATGCAATACCAATACGCAGGGCAGGCAAGGACTGAACCAGCAGGATGGTCGAGGGATAGCCGAGGTCAAAGGATGCCAGAGGACAGGAACAACGAGGAGTAGCCGAAGTCAAGGGATGCCAGAAGTCAGAATAAACGAGTCAGGAAGCCGGGGTCAATAATGCGAAGCGATGAAACAGGAACACTGGAACAAACAGGATCAAAGACTTGACACTGAGCACAGGGCGAGGCTGGGTTTATATACCCTGCTGATGACTGATCAGAGTCAGGTGAAAACACAGCCAAGTCAAGGTGCAGCCCCCAGAGTAGTAGCCATGTCAGGATCAACAGGACTGGAATCAGTCTTCACTGTAAATAGCTGCTGTGGCTCAGAGGTAGAAAGCAGGACCAGGACTGAGAAGATCCCCGGTTCAAGTCCCCTGTTGGGAACTCCAAGAGCGACCACGTCTTGCCGTCTGTCTATCAGGTGAGAACCGTGACAGTATGTCGCCATATGGGGACATTAGGTCGCATCAAGCAACGGACAAGTATGGCTCTCAGGAGGCCTTAAGAGCCTTGGGGGTGGCCCACGTGGAGCCGGTTGGCACTAACCACAATGCTCGTGGTTGTGGCAGTGCTAGGGTGTAGGTAAGGCGGGTCTGGGAGTTCCTCCTCCCGGTCACGGCTTGGGTTAAAAACATTTAACCGGTGATATTAGAGCAGATTACAAGGGGAAACAAGTTAAAGAAAAATTATAGAACCTGTACGTCTAGTCCATTCGGTTTTCACCGACATAGGTTTAATCAGGAGCTTCCTTCATGGAGGAGAGGTTCTGCGGTCGGCGGATGTGCGCGGGGTTTTCGTTGTTCGGTTCCAATCTTTTGCGAGGGGTTTTGGTACCGCGTTCAAATGTGGTCCCTGTAGCGGAGAGGCAGTATGATCCACGAAATCTCCGCTGGGTAACAGGAACAACAAAGGATAATCCAGGGAATCAGCATATAATAATCCAAACAGCACTGTAGTAACCCTTCCTTCCCAAGAACTAGACGACACATAGGCTGGGAGTCAACTGAGGTTTTAATCACAGGTCACAGTATTTATGCAATTCCCCATGCAAGGGGTTTCCAAACAGACATTACAGGGGTTGTACAGGAGGGGACTACATGGGGGACTTACTGTACTACATATTTCTCCCATCAGGCACCGCTGCACGAGAGGGATCACCCTCCCAGAATGCACCGTTAAGGGGATTATCCCCTCGTGCAGCAGAACCGGCAATTCACACAAAAATCCACCGTTGGTACAATATACGGTGGATTTACACGAATGGACGTTCGGTAGATAGCTGGGGTCTGGGCGCATCATTCGTGAGATTGCCGCTCAGATCCCAGCTAAAATAACCGAACGCCGCACAGAAAACACTTTTCTTTAAAAACACATGAAAAGAACCGATTGTCTTTAATGAACCTGGTCCTGAAACTCCCGAACGTCCTGGAGGCTTAACGGTGTTCGTGCCGTCGAATGACTGTTGGGAATGCTATGCGTTCGACGACACGGACCCGCTGACGAACCAGGGATCCAAGATGGCCGCCCGCCGCATGGTCGGTAGTCGAACGACGGCCACCCAGGAGAGCCTCTAATAACCGATTGCAACAATGTTGCAATCGGTTAACTAGCGCCACACGCCTCTAAGTGTGTGGGCTATTAGGGGGTATCGCATTCGTTTCACGAACGGCCCTCCAAAGTGCCGTTCGCGAAACGAACGGGAATCCCCATACAAACCGCCATTTGCATTCGGCGGAACAGATAGGTACAGGCAATGCAGGGAATACATGAAGCAGGCACATACAGGTATAATGCATCTCTCTCCAGACCTATAGGCAACCCTTAAAGGCACAGTGTCCAGTTATAGTCCGAGTGGCTAGGTTTGCCACAATGCTCCCCCAGAACCAAGCCGGCATACACAGTCTGATCCCAACGGATCGGCTTGGGGATGTCCGGAGGAGTACTCACGAATCACGGCTCCAAGTCTGTTTGTCTAGACAACCCGTCGGCGTTGCCATTCTGCTTCCCAGGGCGGTAGTGGATAGTAAAGTCAAAAGGCTGCAGCGCCAAACTCCAGCGCAGCAGCCTGGCATTGTCTCCGGACACCCTGTTCAGCCACACCAACGGGTTGTGATCCGTGAGTAAAGTGAAGGGTTGCCCGTATAAGTAGGGTTGCAACTTCTTGAGGGCCCACACCACAGCCAGGCACTCTTTTTCAATGGCGGCGTAGCTTACTTCCCTGGGTAAAAGTTTTCGGCTTAGGTAAGCTACGGGGTGCTCGCCGCCATCGGGTCCAACTTGGCTCAGTACTGCTCCCAATCCAAACATAGAAGCGTCTGTGTGGACGAGAAAGCGTTTAGTTGGATCAGGAGCAGAAAGTACAGGAGAATTAACCAGCGCCGTCTTGAGCTGTTGGAACGCCTGCTCACACTCTGGGGCCCAGACTACTAATTTAGGGAGGTTCTTGCGGGTCAGGTCTGTGAGGGGTTTGGCGAGGGCGCTATAGTTGGCCACAAACTTCCGGTAGTACCCGGCGGTCCCTAAAAAGGCGAGCACTTGGGTCTTGGTGCGAGGGGTAGGCCATTGGGCGACTGCCTCTATTTTAGCAGGTTCGGGTTTCTGTTGCCCACTCCCTACCCGGTGTCCCAGATACTGGACTTCCGCCATACCGATATGGCATTTGCTGGGTTTTAGGGTCAGTCCGGCCTCTCGGATTCGGTCTAGAATGGCTCCTATGTGAACCAGATGTTCGTGCCAGGAGTGGCTGAATATGGCGATATCATCTAGATACGCGCAGGCATACTCCTGGAACCCATCTAACAGTCTGTCCACCATTCTCTGGAAGGTAGCTGGAGCGTTTTTCATCCCGAATGGCATGACCTTAAACTGATACAGGCCAAACGGGGTGACAAAAGCCGACTTAGGGATGGCGTCGTCCGCTAAGGGAATCTGCCAGTACCCTTTGCACAAGTCTATAGTGGTTAGGTATTGACCCCTGGCCATCTTATCGAGGAGTTCGTCTATTCGGGGCATGGGATATGCGTCAGAGGTCGTTTTATCGTTGAGCCGTCGGTAGTCTACGCAGAAACGGGTCGTCCCGTCCCGTTTCGGCACCAGTACTACCGGGGAGGCCCAGGGGCTGTCCGAGTGCTCTATTACTCCTAGCTGAATCATCTCCTCAATTTCCTTGCGCATATTCTCCTTGACTGCTTCTGGAGTGCGGTAGGGGGGTTGGCGCAAGGGGGTCGAATCTAACGTTTCTACCTTATGGGTAGCCAACGGGGTATAGCCGGGTAAATTGGAAAACGTGGCCTTCTTTTCCTGAAGCAACCTTTGTACCTGGGCCCGTTCTTGGGTATTTAATCTTTCTCCTAACTGTACCTCTCCCAGATCTCCGCTCTGGCCCTCTTGGTCTAGGAGATCGGGTAGGGGTAGGTTATCAAAATCTTCCGTGGCAGGGGCACAGATTGCGGTGACTTCCTCCGTCCGTTCGTGGTATGGCT